TGTCCTTTCCATTGCTTTGTAGGTGTGTAATATGAACACATGACAGTTTACCCATTTTACCACTGACCGACATTTGGGTTTGTCCAATTTCTGGCTGTTTGAAAGAGTGTTGTAAATGTTCTTGTGCTTAACTTGTGCTTTATTAGGTAATAACAAAATGTGCCCTTCTGGTTGCTCCTTAGGCACACACATTCCACGCAGCTGTGGTTTGGCATGGATGTTTATTTGATCTTAATTCTTAGCGACACCTGCTCCTCTCCAGGCCTTGTTCTATTCCCAGAAGGAGATGTGTCCATTATTGCTCTGCTTTACACCGAGCGAGCCTGCAGCCTGCATTGCGGTTCTGTGCTTCCTGAAAGGCTGCTGGAAATGTTTGACACTTTCATGAATGCTCCATGCTTTTTGCAAAGTCAAATGTGTGATGAGACACAGCTGCCATTTAGATGTTTGTTGAACTCTTTCTAGTCTCAGCAGAGCTGCCCTGGGGGCACAGATCTGGGCAAGTGTGGTTTTGTTTTGTCTACTCTCTTTCACAACTGTCATTTCTACTCAGGTTGGCCTTTCTTGGATCAGAGGAGATGACCCAGGGAGGGGGGAGCGTGGAGGGGCAGCTTCAGTGGTGAGGCTGGGTCTGCAGGCCTGCCCAGGATTGGGTCTTTGGGCTCCAGAGAGGAAGTGATTCCTTCCCTCCTGTGGAAGCTGGCTGTGCATCCAGGTGAGCACCAAGAGGCATGGGGCTGGCTGACACTGGAGATACATTTGCATGAGTTCTCTGCGCCACTCATAGTTTAAGCTTTGTGGACCTAGAAGGAAAATATGAAAGAGAAAGAGCTGGTGTGGTGTTATACACCTCTGATCCCAGAATTCTTGAGCCTGAGGCAGGAGAATGGCTTTGAGTTCAAAGCCCCCTAGCCTGCATAGTGAGTTCCAACACCAGCCTGAGTTATAGTGAGACCCTGTCTCAAAAAAAAAGGAGAAAATAAATTTCTGCAGAATTTTTAATGAAACCTAAGTATAGTGATAGCCATGGAACGACTGCTAATGAGAAAAGTGAGGGCTGGGGATTTAGCTCAGTGGTGCTGCCGCCTGCCTCACAAACCCAAGTTTGATCCCCAGTACCAAAAAACAAACAAAAAAAGCATGAGAAAAGTGAGCTTCTTTTGGAGGGAGACATTTCTCTGCATTGAGGTTCCAAGTCCTCCCCAGAGTCATCTGACCAGAATTGTCCACCTGTACAAAACTTATGTCGTGACCGCACAGACAGGTTGCAGTCAGATTTGGCCTGAGCCAGGCCAGCTCCTCAGACGGCTGTGGAGGTCACCACACTGTCCAGCCTGCCATCGAGACATAGGTGCCGTCTCACCGGTGGGGACGTCTGTGGGGTCTGTGGGGACTGGGAGGCTGCAGAGCTTTGCTCTCAGGGAGGAGGCGTGTCACAGGGTGACCTCTGCTGTGGGGAGAGAGAGCCCTCGGCTGTCCTTTGTGGCTGGAGCTCTGCAGCAAGGTAGCAGAGCACGGGGAGCCGAATTTGTGAGCTTCTCATTTTTGTCTGGATGGCAGCGTTCCTCTCTGGCCTGGGAAGCCATATTGCTCAGCACACTGTGACAATGAGGATGGAACAATGGTGTGGCCTCTTCCTTTGTGGCCTCACCCCTACCTGTGCCATTCACAGTCCCTGTGTGCTGGCCCAACACTTTATTTTCCTTGGCAGTATTTGATTATGGGAGTCTTTTTGTTTCATTCATTTTTTTGTTTGCTTGGCTTTTGAGACAGGGCCTCGCTATGTACTTCAGACTGGACTTGAATTCACTATGTAACTCAGGCTGTCCTGGAACTTGCAGTGACCCTCCTGCCTCAGCCTCCCAAGTTCTGGCATTACAGGGGTGCGTCCCTACACCCAGCTGTTTTGTGTTTTGAGAAAGAGTCTTGCTATAGAGTTCAGGCTGGCCTTGAACTCACTATGTAGCCCCTCAAACTTAACAGCAATCCTCCTGCCTCATTCTCCAGAGTGCTAGAATTATAGGCATGCACCACTGCACCCATCTTCCTTGGAAATATTTGAGACATGTCCCTCTAGTCTTGTTTATGCAATAAGTTTACTCTGTAAAACTTGTTTTACAAACTAAAAGGTCAGTCTGAGTCTGAGCCCTCAAAGTTACGAGGTTTGGCTGGGCTTATGTTGCCAAGCAAGCTGTACTTGAATGTTTATTGTCTCTCACATTTTTGTGTTTGGAGTTTTTCCACGCAAATTCTGGTGAAAGTTGTGGTGGTTTTCCTTCTCCTGAGTTTAAGTGGATATAGGGAGGACTGATGAGGGCTCACTCGGTCGCAAATCTCAGCAAAGCTGGCAGACAGCTTTGCTTTCTAGAGACTTAAAAGTTTTGTTATTTTTGTTGCTTTAATATTTCAGGGCTGTTTTTGTAAATTAATGGACACAGGCTTTTCCTCTCCCTCAGATTTAATCATTCTCACTTGGCCTGACCAAGTTTAATCTTGGTATCTATGAACACAGGCCATCATAAGGAGGGTGTGTCTTTGAGTAGGGAGGGAATTGCTCTTCCTCTCGGGGTTTTAATTAAAACCCCCTCTGCTGCCAGTGCAGCCCATCGCACGTCACCTCTAATCTCTCCTTGACAACTAGGCAAGCAGCAGTGTTTACACGCTATCCTGACTCGGTATAAACCCTGCTTCCCTCCCGTAGCAGGGCAGAAGACCCCGTGGCGGCGTGTTTTACCAGACTTCCTACAGTGTGCGTTGCGATTGGGAAGGCTGTGTCCACACAGACAGGGAGGGCACTTGTCTGAGTTGCCGTGCGGCAGTGCTCCTGCCCCCCACATTGACGTAGACCACTGCTTCCAGGATGGAGCCACAGTGGTGCACTGTCACCTGCAGGGTGGTGATCAGAGGCCAGAGAGGCAGGCAGGTTGATATCTCAGGCTGATTCCCAGAGTCCTCGCCCAGCATCAGCCCCCAGCTGGCTTCTGAACTGAGGTTCCAGCCAGTTCCTACCTCTTTGGATAGCTTTTCCCTGAGTCCACTTCCTGCCACCCTGAGCAGTTACCCAGCAACCTCCCAGTACCCCATCAGTCCTCCCCTCTGCCTCAGGAACACTGTCTGTGGCATGGTGTCGTGCTCTGCAGCAGGCACTGGGATGTGCTGACGAAGTAAACATCAGCTCTTTGCTGGGCACACACCTGTAATCCCAGCACTTAGGAAGCTGAGGTGGAAAGATCACTGTGAGCTTGGGGCTACATTGGGCTACATAGTGAGTTCAAGGCCCATCTGAACTACATAATGAGACTGTCTTGGGTAAAAAGAAATTTTAACTCTTGAATCTGTTCTTATCAACTCCTTTCTACAACATGTCAGAAAATAATGCTTGTTTGTTTTAAACAGACATTTTTAAGTTTTTGGATCCTAGCAACATTAAACAGAAAACCCAGGCATGGTGGTACATGCTTGTAATCCTAACATTCTGGAAGGCCGAGGCAGGAGGATCACAAGTTTGAGCTCAGCTTGGACAGTTTAGCACGATTTTGTCTCAGAAAAGAGCTAGGTGTGTACCCCAGTAGGAAGGCCCTGAGTTCCGTTTTTCAGTACTGCAGCAGACACACACACAGGAAGTAGAGTTCCCACGTGCCCTGTTTGTGGGCACCCTTGTCTGTGGGCACCCTTCCTGCTGTCCTTGTCTCCCACAAAGGGACATTTGTTATCATGGATGGGCCTACAGCAGCAGGTAGTTGTGGCCTGAGGTTCATACTTTTCACCATTCTGCGTGTTTGGACACAATACAATGGTGTAATTTTAACACCTTTTTGGGCTGGTTATGTATGTAGCTCAGCAGCATAGCACCTGCCTGGCAAGTGTGTTCCATCCCCCACCCCACCCCAAAACCCCAAAATAAAACCACCTTTTAATATTGTAACTACTCTGAAAAAATCTGGTGATCAACTTGTTTAAAATTGTCAGCACTGATCACATGTTCTAATAAAACAACCACTGTTGTGTCAGAGCTAGGATGTCGGATGCTAGTGTTGGAAGCAGATCTCAGAGGTGATCTGGGAAGGCTAAGTCCCCACCATACTGCATGATAAGCCACCAGGTGCTTTGTGGCAGATACCCATGATCAGCGCTGTTACTGAGCTCTGCAATGCCAGGCACCGGGCTGGGTGCTTCCCTGTCGTTCCTAACGTGGTTGGCATGGCAGCCCTGTGATTGGCATCACTCTGCCAGTTTACAGATGTTCACCTAAGAGTTGAGCCCTTAGCCCCTGTGCTCCTCCAGGTATAGTGGGGTTCCGAAGACATTTTATTCTCTTTTGTGTAAGAAGTCTTCAGGTTTCATGAGTCCTTGAACAAACACTGTTTGAGTGCCTACTGTGTATAGGCATTGTAAGCGCCATATACTGCTTGTGTGTGATAGCTGGTCTGTAAATATTCACTGAACACTAAATATTTGAGGGTCTGTTTAATCGGTCAGCCTTGCAAAGCTAGGTATTGTTACTACCAGTTTCTGGAAGAGAAACCTGAACAATGGGAAGGATTAGGAAGACACCTACCTCAGCTGTCAGATTTGTGTCTGGGTCTTTCCAAAAATCAGGACTGGGCCGACCCCTCCCAACCACCTGTGCCTGCAGTCCTGTGACTTGGTGTGGTCACCTTGCCACCCTTTCCCTCTGGGGGGATGGGACGCAGGGCACTGAGACATGTGAGCTGTCTGTCGAAGTCCCTGCTCTTTACCATGGAGTGCTGCCTGGCAGATGCTGTGACCAGGGCCACCTGCTTCAGGTGGATGAGACAGGAGAAGAGCTGGTATTTTGTAGCTGCTGACAAAACTGCTGTGCGTTGCTATTTGAAAGTAGTGCTTCACCCTGAGCAGAGGATTTGTGCCCCTGAGCAACCTGGGGGACCTGACGGTACAGTAAGGGGTTCTGGGGCTCACCTGTAGTTGTAGTGTCTAAGCACAAGCGTGTTTTAATTGGCATATTCTCTGTATTTTAGGCTTTGGATGTGGACCGGATGGTTCTTTACAAAATGAAGAAATCGGTGAAAGCAATAAACATCTCTGGGCTGGGTGAGTACGGTTCCTGCCCCAGGGTTTCTGTGCAGGGACAGCACATTTAAAGTCCTGATGCATAACAGTGTTCACCACTAGCCAATTAACAAACTTGGACAGCAGCAGCGAGCTGCGATGTCTCATTCCAGAAGTGGGTTTCATTTGCCCACCGGCCAATTCAGGAACAGGCCTCCCTCCTGCCTTCCTGTGTAAACCTGCTTTGTCAGACTGGCTGCTCCTGCCTCTAAGGTTTGGTCTGTGCTGAGAATCACACTAGAATTCTCTTTCCATTTCTCTCTTTTCCAGTTCTTGCCTTGGGGAGAAAATGAATGAATATACAGGCATTACCAACTAGTCAGAGTAAATGTATGTGTAATATTTATGAATCTGTATTTGATCTAGACTTAGAGATTTGCATAAGAAAAACTCATGCAACTTTCAACTTAAAGATGACAGGCTGCGTATATATGGCAGGTCATATCTGCATGACAGATGTTTTTAAAATGATGATTGTGTATTGCAAACATGTACTATTAAAAAAAAAAAGATTTAAAAATAAATGAGATAGGTCATGAGAGCCAGTGGTTGTAGGAGCAATCCAGGTGGCCAAATGATAAAAATCCTAATTTCAAATCTGGGGGCAAAAAAGTTATCAAGAAACTATAGATCCACTGAGAAGCAAGATGGGGGCCCTGGGACACTGGTGGATCATAGAGAAAAAGGGCAGCTTGTGGGAGCACACCCTGCTCAGGGCCAGGTGTAGCTGGGGTGGCTGAGGGTGGCCCCTAGTATCCCTGTCCTGTCCTCTGCACTCTGTGGGGCCTCACTGTAGCCATGGGAACTGGAGTAGGAGGACAGGGAATGTCCTGGTAGTGGTGAGGTCAGCATGACATGGACCCCACTCACAGCAGTGGGAGCATAAAGTCACAAGGCTCTTGGGTGCCCAGCCAGTGGCCTTTCTGAAGCTCCACATGTCCAGTAGGCTGGCCATCCGCCTGACCTTGGGGGTCTCCTATTGTGGTCATCTTGTACCCATCTGTCATGGCATGCCAGGTTTGAGTTATTATTGGGCCATTAGTCTGACTTTTTAAAAAAACCAGATTCCTGGTCCTGAAATCTTTATTTTAAAACATGTGTTGTCTCCTTCCAAAGAGTCACCTGAAGAAACCCTATACTTTTCCTGTGATGTTGCTGACATCATTTGCACAGTATTTTAGAAACTCTTTTTCTAGAACTGCTTTTTGTAGCACATCTTTTGAATATATTTAGTAGGAGAGTCTAAGGACAGATTAAATTGTCAAAAATAAATGGGGCACATTCAATTAGGGATTAAGGTGCTGGCTACCACAGTTGGCTAGGTGCATTGAGGCTGCTCCAAGGGCCCTCATCTCACAGAGAATCCCTGTTGTGTTCAGAGCATTAAGAGTATTTGACCTTCTAAGGCAACGTTTGTTTAGGGAGAACATTTTATGTAGGATTGAAAGAAAAGTGATAATGATTTAGCATTTATACCTCATCCTGCCCCCTACTTTTTCTGATCTCTTCATCCCTGTTTTCCTCGAGACCGGGACTGCCCCTGGCTGTTGCAGACTGGCCCTGTCTGCCCTCGCACTGCACCCCATCTGACTGCTCCTGCTTAGTGAACTCATTCTGACTGACATCTGTGTCTGTGGGTAGCCACACCCTGGGCTGCAAACTCTCCCCTGCTCCAGTCACCTGGGCAGGACGCGCCTGTCCTTCCCCACCTTTCTTGAGACTTGGTACAGGGCCAGCTTTACTTGGCTCTCACCTGGGTTCCTTTCCTATTGCTTCTGTAATGAGTTACCACACAGTGAGTGGTTTCAAGTGACACAAATTTATCTTTTAGTTCTGCAGGTGAGAATTGCTGTGTGTGTCTCACTGGGTTGAAATCAAAGCCTTGTCAGAGATGCTTCCTGCCAGCACTTGGAGAAGCCATTTCCTTCACTTTTCCGGGTTCCGGGTCCACCTGCATCCTTGCCTCTTGGCCATTTACCTCTGTAGAGCCAGCAGGTGGCCAGTGAGTCTTTCTTATACTCCATCACTGTGACAGTCAGCTCAGGGTGCTGTGACAGAATAACAGACTGGTGGCTCAGACGATGGTGTTCTCACAGGTCTGGAGGCTAGGAAGGCCCTCCTGGCCCCAAGACAGCTGCTCCCCTGCTGTGTCCCTGCACAGTAGTGAGAGAAGAAGCTGGCTGGCTGAGGTCTGTCCACAGAAGGGCACCCTTTCCCATCATGAAGGTCCCACCCTCAGGACCTCATCTGAACCCCAACAGCTCTCAGAGGCTCCTCCCAGTGCTACCACACTGAGGGTGTGTGCTTCAGTATTTGAGTTTGGGGAGACAGAGTTCACTCTCAAAGCAGACAGTGATTCTTCTGCCTCCCTCTTCCATAGTCAAGCATCCAGTTTATCATATGGTACCCCTCAGATTATCCAGGATAATCTCCCCAGCACAGATCCAGTTGTAGAGATCCCTTGTAGAGTAGATAGCCACAGTTTCCAGGGATTGGGACAGAAATATCCTTACGGGCAGTGGGACATTGTTATACCTAATGCACTTGTAAACACTTCCAGTTTTCAGAGCTGTCACTTTGACTCTTCCCTTCACTCCCATAATAAAGGGCTCCCAATATACAGACACTGGGTTCACTGCTTACTGTTCTCCAGGAGTTTATGTCTGTTGATCTTTGTCCTTGATTTGCTGCAAGACCTTGAGATTAAGGACCATTTCTAGGACACAGAATTGTAGGACACAGTGAGTTTTGTGAGTTTAAGAAGAGATTAAGAAGAAGCCTGGATTAAAAGCTAGCAGTGCTACTCAAGAATTCAGTAATTTAGGAATCTTTCTGAGCCTCAGTTTCCTCATATGTAAAACGGGATTACTAATGCTGGAGCTTGTAGGATTCTTAGTCAGAATTCCCCGAGAGACCATGAACAAGAGGCATGAGGGGTTCTGGGCATGGATGTAATTGCGCTTTTACTTCCTGTGCATTCCTTGTAGCGGTTGGCACAGAGCAAGCAGATTTCCATAGATGGCCAATAAATTCTCTTATACATTGTAGTGCTTCTGCTGCAGGTTCTTGGTGTGTGAGAGGTAAGCCGAAAATTTTATATACGAGCCATGTGTGTTAGGGCAGATCATATATTCCACCATGTGAGGATTTCTAAACTGGGGGATTTGAGCAGAGCAGGAGCCAGCACACTGATGAGCCACCGATGTTTTTATGACTGCGAGCTAAGAATGGTTTTTAGCATGCTCCCTCACACTTAGCACAATAGCCTAAATGTTCTTCTTACCCATCAAAACCTTAATATTTACTGACTGTTTTTTTAGGAAACAGTTTGCCAATCCCTGCTGTACAACAGTGGTCCTGAAACTTCAGCGTGAGTTCAGTGAGCGGGGAGGGTGTCTTGTGTAAACAGTGGCTGGACCACACCCTCCAAGCTCCTGGCCCACAAGTCTGGGATGCAGCCTGAGCATTTGCTCATTCAGCAGGTGCCCAGGGGCTGGAGCTGGTCTTAGGAAGCTGCTTTCCTGCTTTGAACACAGCACTGGGCCAAAAGGGCATGAGTGTGTCCTACCTATATGCTAAGCAGTAGTCTCCTTACACAAATCAAGCAAGTTGTTCAAAGGATGACACTCTGCCTCGTGAGTTTCTGGAAGGTCTTATGAACAAGTCCACAAAAGCACATATTGTGATGATGTGTTAAGAAACTATTCCTATAGTAATTTTCCCAGCCTGATGGACAAGTCTCTAGCCCCTTAAATAAAAAACCCAGTTCATATACATTTAAAACTCTCACTAGTCTATGGGCTGGGGATTTAGCTCAGTAGTTCCACCTCCTGCCTCTCAAGTGCAAGTTTCTGAGTTCGTTCCCTAGTACAAAAAAACCCAAAAAAACTCTTACTAGTTTAAAATTTCCCAAACTGTCTCAGCCCAGTGGTGTTTTCTCCCACTGGTAAGATGAAGCTAACTTTTTTCATATGTGTTTGACATGTCAGTGGTTGGAAAATTCATCTTGACCAAGGAGGAAGTAGCAAAAGACTTTCACTTTGACTTCTATAGGATTACTGTATTTTGAAGGCTTGGGGTGCATTCTTACTGAGAGTGATGTGCTCTCTCTACCTTCAGTTTGAATGGTGTAGTGAAATTGCCACATCCTTGAAATGAAAACTACAAATACTAATTTTTCATCAAACCCTTACTGTCTTCCACTTTTAGAAGAAAACAGGAGCTCACAATTTTGTGTGTCTGTGTGATGTTTCTTGTTACTTTCAACTGGTAATTAGGATGTAGTATTGTTTCATTTTTCTTTTTGAGACACGGTCTCACTGTGTAGCTCAGACTGGCCTTGAGCTTGTGATTCTCCTGCTTCGGCCACCCATGAGCTGGGATCACAGGCATGCACCAGCCCATCCTGCAGGGTATTTTAATAAAGTAAGCTTAACGTTAATACTGAGAACTGCTTGTAGTGTAGATACCATGTAATTAGAGTAGGACAGTTCAAAGGAATATATCCAGTTATTTAGGAAGTGAAGTGTTATTGTACTATACCTGGCACAGCTTTCTCTGTGTTATATGAGGTAATAACTAAGTCAGGGTCATCCTTACTTTGTGCTTGGCCAAGGATGCAATGATGCTGGTGCTCTGCTCCCCTGCCACGGCACTGAAAACGGGCCCACAGTTTTTGGAAAGCAGTTTGTCATTATGTATCGAAGAAAATAAAAATCTCTGTATGGAAGGGTGTCTGCACAACACTGTCCATTGTGTGTGGCCTTCCTCTCACAGCAAAAACTGAAAGCCTCCTGTTGCAGAACTAGGGTCTGCTACTCAAGAGTTGTGGTTATATAACAACATGAAGGAAAATTCTTAGGATGCGCTCTTCAGGCAGCAGAAATCAGGCTACAAAACAGATGTACCGATTTCTATGATAAAAGAAATGGCAGATTATAAATGATGATAAAAAGTATATCTGTGCTGACATTTGTAAATGT